TATATATATATATAAAGTAGATTTATATATATATATAAAGTAGCAGAAGCAGATGAAAAAATACACGCTGGCTTCTAGGTAATTAAACATTTGTAACATACGTCGACATAAATGAATATTGTTGGTTATTAGTGTAGGAGCTGTGAGGGCGTGGTTACTCTGGGGCAGAAAGGGAGAAGAGGGCTGGGAGAAGTGATCTGCAGAACTGTAGACTGCTCGATCTCAATCTCACTGATCCGACAGTACTGATTATCTTGGCATAAATGCGCGGTTAATTCAAATTTGATTGCAATTTATTTATTTCTATTTTTGGAACAAAAAGGTATTCTGTTTTTAATTTCAAGTAAATAAGTGTTCAACTTCAGTACAAGTTTATTAAAAAATACCAGTCAGAGTCAAGTGACCCTGACTTGGTATTTTTTTTCAAACACGTTTTGATCAAAGGCTAAATACTATCCATGACATCCCGAAAGTAATAGTGGTTCACTTTTTGCTGGCAACTACTAGTAAATATCACTATATTGATGGTGGTATTTAGTTGCGGAAAACTCAGCCAATTTGCTTTCCAGAAATAAACAAACGTCTAATATACATTTCACATGCATAATGCGTCTTGTATTACTTACCGATTATTAAGTAAACCAAACGGCCAAAGGCTTTTCACAATTTTGAATTTGAATTGTGTAGTCTTACCATTTGGAGGATTACATATAGTAGATTAATGTGGAAGCACTGATACTCTTCGCTAAGTCCAACTTTTTCTTCTTTGTCAGCTTGATATGTTTGTGTATTAAGTTGACTTTATTGATGTTTTTTCTTAATGAATTGACGTCATTTAACTTTTTGCATTCATTTTTGGTACGGAAAAGAAATGAAATCTTTTCAAATTTTGCACACTTCGCTGAATTTCTATGTTATTGTACGCATTCGTTTATTTGGTTGTTGAGATGATTTGGAGAAGAATTTCAGCGCACTTGTTTTCATCACATCACATCAAAGCTATTGAAGAGCACACTGAAGCCAAGAAGTCTCCAGAGGAGGTCAGTTCATGTCGCTTCGAATCAATGCAACGAATCAACCGTTCTGGTTTTATTTACCACCTAATATTCTGCCATTATTATTGTCATTATTATCAGTTCTACTTTCCAGTCATGAAATAGAGGCATCAATTTTTGAACAGGTTGCATTCTTTTCGGTGACTTCAAAGGAAATATTGATTTACGTAAAAAAAAATTTGAATTTTTAACTTTCTAGCAAAATTTTTGCACTTTCATTCTTTCGCAATATTTGATTGTATGAAATGCAAATTTTTTTAGGCTAGTCGAAGCCGTTGTGAACCAATTGAAATACCTCTTTGTAAAGACATTCCTTACAATTACACTTTCTCTGCCAACTCGTTGTTACAGCCTGACCAGCAAAGTGTTAGTTTGACATTTGTGGTAATTATTCAAGATAGATACGTAAGTTTAAATGTGTGGCCAGTGTGCTCTGAAGTATTAAAATTTCGGAAATCTCACTTCAAGCTGTTTAGTTTAATTAAGCAAAATTGGAAAATTTTATTTAATGAGTAAAATTGCAACAGACATTTGATGTTTAGTTTAATCAAGCAATTCGAATAAGTTTCCTTCTGAAAAAATATGCGAATATTTCGTGAATTTTTTACTTTTCTTTTCTGGGTTATACTTTTTTGAGCTTTTATCTAAAAACTTGCATTTATAATTAGCTATTGCAAAATCTTCAGAATTACTTTGGCACTTAATTTCAGTTACAAACTCATACTGAACATTTCAAACCGCTCATTAAAACCAAATGTAATCCGCACATTAAATTCTTCATCTGCAGTGTATTCGCACCAATGTGTCCTGAACATATGCCTCAGGCCGTAACTAGTTGCCGTTCTGTATGTGAGAAGGTATGCTCAAATTCACTTACTTGATATTATTTTTAAATTGTAACCTGAACAATACTCATGTTCATTTATTCATTCAGTCATTGAATATTATTTAAATTTAAAAATTTTAATCTGTTCATTTACTCATTAATTTCACTGTAAGCCTTATATAAACTAGTAATGACTTATATTTGTAAAATGCAGTTATGTAATTATGCATGAATTAGTCTTTCCGCGAGTTTTCATATTTTTCCTTTAATATTCTTCCTTCCTGGTCACTTCTCGTGAATTAAACTTACGAGATGAGTATTTTGTACAGTTATTGCTTAGATATTAAATTTAACTTCATATTTTAAACCGATATTTTGCGCTCTTCTTTTTTCCTACAAACTGCAATTTTTGCACTTTCTTACTTCAAAAATGATCTCGAGATACCATAATTGTCTCGAAAATTACATTGTTTTATAATTAATTATAAACATTCCCATGAGACGTAATTTTCATTCACTGT